TTGGTAGCGCCGCGCGCCCGCCGTCGTTTTGAGTCGGCTCGAAAAATAGAGTAACCGTCCATCGAGGTCCCCGCGTCAGAGGCATCTGGTGTTAGCCAAGTCTCTGTGAGTGCGATTATGGAAGGTTGTTCAAGACAAACCGACTGTTTAACATAGCTGAGTTTGTGTAAAAGGCTGAGGCAGTTTGTGGACAAGCATTCCAACACTATCTCTGCTACCTCCGAGGGTGAGGAGCTGAGACTTGAGTGGGGTGGGTGGTCACCAGGCTTAATAGTTGTGCGCCGGGTTTGAGTCCAAGTCTCCGAAGGGGCCTCTGGGGTTGTGTGGTCTGCTGACTTCGTGGTCATTTCAACACCGTCTCCGCTGCCTCCAAGGGGGATGAGCTGGGAGTTGAGTGACCAGGGTGGTCAGCAGGCTTAATAGTTGTGCGCCGGGTTTGAGTCCAAGTCTCCGAAGGGGCCTCTGGGGTTGTGTGGTCTGCTTCCTGACTTCGTGGTGCTTTCCGGTTGCGACGATTTTTCGTTCCGTGGGAACCCGGTTAGCTTGGGCCTTTTGCCTTTGGGAGACGAAGTCTTTTCCCCGTGTGCGAAAATTTCGACCGATGCTGTTTAAGGCTTGTTGATTCCGCCTGCGAATCAACGGTGACCAGCGGTAAATTTCCTTGTTTTCTGACTATTAATGAGTAACGTGACTCGCATCTGTTTATTATGACACCGTTTCGTTTCTTCGCTCGCTTTCCCCCCGTTTCGTCCCGGTTTAAGGTCTGCTTATGCCTCAGTAACTGATGTCAATATTTAATTTGTCCGTCCGTCATTGCTTACAAGTTCGCCTGGATTGCACCTATTCATGAGCGCCCACTCTGACCGAAGAGCTCACCGACCGGCTATCGAACCCAGAGTCTGCGGTGAGCGGGCGAACGTGTCACCAACTACACCAACCGGACGCACAACGTGGCTGCTTATTTTGTATTACCTATATATCCCACCTGGCATATAGCCCTTGCTGAGCTTTGTTTTAAACGGACGAAACCGCGCAATCTGACCTGTCACGCGACACGAGCGGCTGCATCATCGCCGACCGAATGACAGTCCCTCACATCCCAAGCGTACTGACTCCTCCGCCGTTACGGCCAACTCACACTGTCAGACTGCCCCGATATGCATGTTTGTACATCGTTTGGTACTTACTTCTTGTTGCCCCTATAAAAATCCGTGCTGTGACAGTGACTACTTCCCGCTCCTGCAGATTGCGTCATTGTTGATTGTACGCTTTCTTAATTCATGATGCTTACTAATCCGTTTTTCTGTAGAACCAGTTCCTGTCAGTCTTCAATATATCATCTGCTGCCCCACGTCTGTCTGCTCCTATTGACTACTGGCCAAGAGCTGCGTATAATCTAATAGTCGCAATCGTCCTGTGAGATCCTTAACCGTCCGGATCTTACAATGCTCTTTCAGCACTCCCATTTTGGCGAGCAGATTTGCTGTTGATCAAAATTTTGATGCAAGCTTTCGCCTTTCTGGATCCTTGGGCGTTTTGGCGCGGTTTGACCGGAAATGTGCCTTTGTGAGGCCCTGAGCGCTGGGTGGTGGCACCAAGAAATAATGATTTTGGCGGCGCTCCCAAGGGGCTCGTTTCCGCGTAGGACTGCACCTTGAAGCCAGCCAGCAGCTTTCTAATGTGGCGAGTTTTATATGGCTTTTTTGGCTGCAGTCGCACTTGTTTCGTGTTTGTGTGGACACCCGATCCGTCAGCGATCAGCGTGGCCAACTGGATGTACGCATTATTCTCCGGATCGCTGTAGTTATGTTTATAGCTTAGGTTGTCTGTGTCCCGGGCTACGGTTGTGTCCACAAGCAGAAAGGCCGCTTTTGACGGAGTGGAGCTAAAGATTGGCTTCGCTGCTTGACCCTCACAACTGACTCAGTACAGTTCAGAAACTGTGGCGAGGAGGAGGAGTGCATGGCTACAGCTGTTACGGAGATGAGCGTTGATAGCTCCACGTAGTTTGGGCGCTGCTTGCATGTGATGTTTGCCTCCTCCAGGGCATCACTGCTTTTGGTGGGTGAGAGGCGTGTGGTGGTTGAATAAATACTGCTGTCCGGAGACGCAGCTGGTTTCTTCGGCCTGCTTTCGAGAGCACAAAGTGATATGACCACAATCGGCTTGGTCATGAGTTTGGGGTCCGCTGAGTTTGTACGCAGCGGAAGCCTGTTTCGTACATCCGCCCCTGACCTGTTGTGACCCAGCTTTCGCGCGTCTGGAAGGCGATCCTCAGATAGACGTCCGACCATTGGGTTGGCCTTCTGAATGCTGCCAGCCCGCTCCAAGGTCTTCTGTACGTTAGATGGGGAAGAACGAGTGACGAGAAATCCAAGCGTTCGCTTCCTTCCCTTCCGGCATAACCATTCTGCATTCCGATTAAAGCGGAACACTGATAGTGGTCTTTCTGAATCTGCACTGGAGATCGGGCACCGTTTTGCGGTGCTCTCCTCTTCGCTGCGTTATGCTTTGCACCCTTAATTTAGAGGCAGCTGGCGCAGACAAACGGGTCAGGAGAGTTAGTTTGTCGGCTTATCTGGTTGTCCTGTAAAACCTGCGCATTTGACATGCCACCTGGCCTTGCAGGTGTGGCATTGCATACCGCGTTTGACGTACGATGGGAAGCCATTTCGCCCACATCTTTTGTGGTATATCAATGGCTGCAGAGGGCAATCAGTATAAATTGATATCATGTTTCGGACTAGATGTAAAATAGGGAGTGTGCGCAAAATATCAAGGGTTATCTCTCAAGGGTTTTGTTAGAGTAACAAAATTCAACAATGACTCGCGTGTACTCTTCGAATAGATTGAAAAACGAAAAACTACCTTCAAAAATTTGCACGAGGAATAAACGAAACCGTTTTCGAACGTACCGCCCTTGAGGTCAAGAAATTCGCATAGATATCAGGTTTTCCTCAACAATTAGGGCATGCCTTAGCGGGTGCACGGCAAGATTTAATCTTCAGTGGTATACCGCACCCTTGATAATGGCGTTGGTTGAGTTGTTTCTAGTATGGTCAACACGGGCGGTAAGAACAATGGATCGATCACCGGCTTTAGGTCTTGGCACAAATTAATCGGATCAAGACGGTCTGCTAGTGCACGTAACGCGCACGTCTGGGAAGTATTCTGGATATGGCGAGCTGCTTCCCGATGTTAAACTCAAATGCGTGGTAGCGCATCACGTTTGCCCTCTGTGAAGTCGTGTCTGGCAAGCCGACCAGCGCTCACGCCGCATCACCAGCGGAGTATTCAGCTTGTGACAAAGATGAGTGTTTGTTTGGAAAACAAATGTTCGAAGTTGATTTCCACCGTGTTTATCGCCATTGATCAAAGCGTCCGGAAACCTTCCAAATAAGCCAATATACTAAGGTTGCAAAGCAGGAACGGTGGTGCTGCCCATCATCGTCCTCTAAACAACGAAGCGATCGGTCACATTAAAAGACAAACTTACTGTTGTGGAAACCATCTGTGGCTTTAAGAATAGTGTGTTTAATTGGGATTACACGTTTTAAACAGCAAATCATTTATAAAGTTGGTATGCAGTGAGCTGCTTTGCTTTCGACGTAGGCACTCAGAAGTGTTCCAACTAAAATATGTTTTTCTTGCTAAACTGGGCTGAAGAAGTCAAATATTCCTGGCTTAGGATGGCGGATGCACCAGATAACATCAAACCACTGTGTTACATAAGTCCAACTATTTAAATCTTGAACCTCAGATTATATGACATTTCAGCACCGACTGGTATCTTGTGAAAAACGAGATGTGGGGCCTGTCTCTGAGACATGTGGCCATTACACATTTTCTTAGCGTTAATTTTGCATTAGTACGGAAGTTATCCGCTGAAATACGTGTTAATGAGAAACTCGTATGCTTTTTGGAAAAACGTCCGTAATCTTATTTACTCCCGTACACCATTCTTGTGAGCGCAAGGTATTTTATGACGTTACGCTGCTACAAATCGGTGGCCATGGACTTTTGGAAGAACATATTACCGATGTCGGTAGCCCGTTTTTGCAATCACCGTAATGGAGGCCTGCAACATACAGGTGAACAAACACGAGCGCGCTTGTGAATCCAAACGTATAAGTTCTTCACTCAGCTGAGCGACCTGAAATGTGATCTTTCAATGAAATGCGCCGAGCGGTGCACTGACCAAAGAATGAATAACTAAAATACTTTGTAACCAAACAAATGGAGATGGTCCTGCTGGAGGCTCGATGCAGATGGACTTGAGCTGGAAACTCGATGGAAGAGCATCTTCAACCGGCAAGACGAGTTGTTTTTTGGTACAGGACTTCAATATGTTGTAAAATTTTCTCCATCTCAAATCACATTTCTCGTGGCTTTGACTAAGATCAATCTTAAACAGAGACGGTTTTTGGTTCAACCTCAAGGCAGACGGTTTACTCACTGAAATAACACTTGTTAATTTATTTTAGTTTTTCTCTTCCGTAGATAACAATAACTTATCACGCGACAAACGTCCCTCCTTGGTTAAACTGCATTTGTCTTTTTGTTCCCCGACATGTTCGAGTTGTAGTGACATAATTATGTCCCAGTTGATATTTTTTACAATCTGGTAAACAAACCAGTTATTATTGAAATGATTGGTTTATTATCCAGCTCGTGTGGAGCATGCTAATTGAGGCATAATCGGATCATCACAAACTTAACGCGGCAGGCGACAACACAAAGGGAGGGAGTATGCGACGAAAAATGCACGCTCACTGCGAGAGATGTCACCGCGGTTGTGGGAACCGAAAAAGGGGGCGCTATGCATGACGTGTGACTAGTTCTAAAATAAAGCCAACCCAAATGAACTAAAGCTGAACCCATTCCTGACCATGAGTGACCTTGAGTGATTGAGTAAATGGCTAGAACCACAAAAACCAAAAATGAAGACGGAGATGGAAGGATTCGAGTTGGGACAAATGGCAAGTTTTGTGTGAAAAAATATGGTCTGCATTGAAACTAAAGAGACTAACTGTTGTCAACGTGGTGGGGGAGTAAGACGTAAAGGATAAATTCAACGAGGTGATGGTGCCATTGCATATAAGGCCGGACGAACACCGTATACGAAATAAAACCTATGGAAGAAATAAGCCGAAATTACAGCGGAATACCATGTCGGTTAAATTTGAACGAAAGGATCATTGAGTTAGAAAGAACTCGTCATAGGGGCAGTTGGAACTTGGCGGAAAATTGGTTCGTATTTGCTTTTACAGGCTCAAATGAGCAAGGGTTTGTGAAGATTGATCTTAAGCGTTCAAAGAAAGCTAACGGCAAGTTCATTGGTTTCCTTAACCTAATCCGTAAGAACCAAGGCGTGGGGTCATTTTGTCACCAATTTTCCCCGGTCGCAAGCAGTGGAAAGTGATCCGAACGAGCATTTTCAGGAAATGTGTCTTAGGGCCAGATGTTTCCCTTCTACTAGCCCGTATACGGGTTTGAAACTTTCGCAGCAGCCATGGCGAAATCTATCACAATAAATCATTGACACTCCTGATTTAGGGGAATAGAATATTCCAACCCGCTTGAAATGCTCCAACGATCAATGCGTGATTCATCCGTAAAATGTCCCAACTGCTTCTTGCTCCGATACTGGTCTATATTCGGCCTGAAGCAAATCCACAAAGTTCGCGTTTCGGGCACTAGCGCTTGCGCCAGGGCGCTCCTCTCACGGCTGCCAATTTGAAATATAGCAAGCGTCTGCGCGCCACCCACACCAGTAAATATGTCATACGTGATTAAATTCATTGCTCTGTCGATTGCAATTAAAATTGCGGGCGCTGGAATAATAGATATTGTACGGCTTGTGTTTATTTATGAACGCCATACCACACAAGAACTCAGGTGTACACCTATGTATCAAAGAAAGTAAGCTGCTGCTAACGTACCTCAGTGCAGCGGGCTTTAATTGCGGTGTGATGGAGTCTCCGTTTCAAACTTATTCAGCAACTTATTCCAACAGCATTGTGGCCTTCTACGTCAAAATCGTGGACGATTACAATGCCTTATTCTTTTAAAACGTCAGACGCATACATCGGGCCACATTTAAACCACGATCAGGTTTGAGTAGAAGGGCAACTATTTAGATGGTTACCAGGGCTTGAGACTCTAGAGCCCCAGGTCATGCAAAACCGTTGCAACGATATGGAAATTTGCGTGACGCTGCTTCCGCACGTAAATTTATACTGAATTATAACCAATGAACAGCCACAGAGGCTTACGAAATCCACGACATTTTGTCTGCTCCCGGTACCCACTTTTTGCCTAAAATTTACACAATGATGCGCGTCAGACAAAAAGGCCTGTGAAACCATACTTCAAAATCCGTATTGAAACTTGGATGCGTCACTAATATTGTCATGCAGGGCATCCGTGAGCGGGTTTCTTTGCCACAGCTTCAGCACTACGACCACGATGACGTATGAATCACATGCTTGAATACAAACAACTACGACGCAAGCAATGAGGGAGTATAGTTTTTCGGTGTGGAAGATATTTTGCACGTGCCATTTGAGTCTGTTTCGTTGAGGATTCGTTTGTTTACGATTCTTGGCTTATCAGGAAGATCAGATTCCTGGAAGCAACTTCAGAATGCCCGGAACCTACTTCTCTACCAAAAACTCAAAAGGAAAGCCGGCAAGCATCCGGGCCAGTCAATCATTTAATCAATTCAGCAAAACCTGATGAGTGTTCTTGCGCGCCACAGAAAAACGACCGAATGTGATCAGCGTTCAGGCTTTTCCACAGAGGCACGATCGATGTTGGTGGATGTTCAATAACGCCTGGATCAATGTCAGAAAGTCCCCTTTTAATAGCGTGGGTCTGTTGTAACTTTTGTTCTCGCACTAGCACGCACTCATGCTCTCGCACACGCTTTGTTGGAATATAGCTATTGTGTTCCTCCCTGTGAGTCTTTTTTCTCCGGCATTAGGCACTGGAGCGGGTCAGCAGCAGATACCACAGACTGACGAATCAGTGGATATAAAATGCCTGCATTAAGTTTAAGGACGGACATAAGAAGTGGGAATAATTTAGGTGAACAAAACTGAAGATAGCTTGGTTCGTTGATCGTAAAAGTATAGGGATTTGGAAGGCCCATGGTAAATTCCGTTCAACCGCTCACCAGTTCTAGTATGGTTTGGGTTTCACAAATAAGCCGCCAGTGCGAAACTATAGGACACAAACGAGCATGTATGTACTTGACAACGCCACTATGATCAGCGAAACAAAGTGGGCGGTCAGTTGGCTATTCGATGTGCTTGATCTTATTGGCATCCTGGTG